TTTGGAAATACAGCTCTGGGAGAGAGTGTAGCCAGTAGCCCATCTGGCAAATGTAGAAGAATTTCATCTGGAATCTGAAAGAGAGCGAGATGCTTTGAAACAACCCCCGCTTTTTTTTTTTTTTTTTTTTTTTTCGCTTTTTGTTTGCGTCTTGACGCTAAATATGGCAACTTACGGCATCAGCGTGTGAGGATAACCCTCCCACAGGGCGATGGGGTTGGACAGGAAGTTTTCCTAAGAACACAAAGCTTTTAAATACAATGTTCAGTCAGAACCACAAGCAAAAAAAAAAAAAAAAAACAATCAAAGGGTGGGCTTACAGATAGAAGGATGTTTGTGCCCCAAGCGAAGGAGAACAAGTAGAAGGCGCTGAGCTGGCCTGACTCATTGAACTTGCTGTGCTTGGTTTTGGAGAAGTGCTTTTTCCGGTTGATTTTCTGCAGAGACACACACACACACACAAAACAGAAAAAAAACAAGATGAGAAATGGCCTAAAGTGAAACAATGCAGAGGTTTAAAAAAAAAAAAAGACACTCCCATAACTTCTCACTTACGTCCAGCACGTACTCCTGGATGATTGCATGCATGATGATGGCCACCAGCATGTAGAAGAAAACGGTTGCCAGGTCCTTGATGCCGTGGTGGAAGTGGTTCACTGCCGTCTCCTCTGGGCCCTCTGAGACACAGACCAGTCATTCAGAGTCGACGCCACGACCACGATTTCAAACTCGCGCTTTCGTCAGCCAAGGTGACTTATTCACATTTAGTATATAGAGACTCTCCTGCATGAGTATTCTTTCATTTTATTACATCACAACCAGAATCCGCGGTGTTTTTTTTTTTTTTTTTAATTAGGATCTTATGTGAGACAAATACACACTCAAAATAAAAAAAAATAAATAAAAATCTTTTGTGTGTGTGAATCTGGTCAGAGATAATGGGAAAATGGATGAAGCCAAATACAGGCCAATCCTGAAAGTCACCCTGTAGGAGGCTGCAAAATGTTCCAGACAAAGACAGAGGTTCACCGTCCAGCAGCGCAACAACTCTAAACACAAACCCAGAGCTATCACGGAATAGAGTATTTTTGTGTGCAAAAATGACCTAGTCAAAGTCCAGATCTGAAAGCAATTGAGAATTTGCAAACTGAGTATCTCCATCAAATCAGACTGACCTTGAGCTACATCTAATAGGCACCTACTCTAAAAGATTGCAGCTGTTAAAGTATTGATTTGGACCAGCTCATCATTAATTCAGGCCAAACTAGATGGTTTTTTTTTTTTTTTTTTTTTTTTTAAATCTTGAAATTTAAGGAACATTTTCGTTACACTTTCATAACCTTGCCCTGCTTTGGCAAAGCACATTGAGGTTTGTGGTTGTCACATGACCCACACACGAAAACGTTCAAAGGTTGCACTTTTTTTTTTTTTTTCCTTGCAACATACATTTAAGTCCCAATCCTAAGTACTGAGACTTGCGGTCAAAAGGATTGGCCCCACACTGAATTCACCTTGGGTGGAGAGTCACAATTTTAATTATCCTAAATCCCAAAGGGCGCCATTAAGATTACAGAGTCTTGACCGCGCAGGATTTCACCATATAGAAAATTAACTACCACTGCTGCAGATGCAGAGAAAACGCAAGTATCTCTCAGCTGACGGGGAAAAAAGCCAGAGAGGCTCTCCTTCATGAAACCACTTAACGTGTTTGCAAGGTAGAAGTGACAAAACAAACAACAACAACAAAAAAAACAACGGCCTTTTGAGATATCCGAGTAAAGATTAATCTAATAAGATATGAGTAGTAAATAAGTAACAGAGAGGGGTCAGTAGAGAGATCCTAGATAAAACTCTTGCCTTTCTGAAAATAAATGGATTCTCTCAACAGTCTACAAAGGTGGCAAAGAAAATGTTAACCTTGAAAGCATCAGGAGACTGAATTGTGTGTGAGGCCTATTTTGCTCCTCAGCCCCGAATTCGTCCGGCACAACCTTGCCACTGGAGAACTTATAAATCAGGCAGACTAAATTTAGCTCTAAATGGAAGAGAGAATTAGAAAATAAAAAAAGAAGAGAAATCTTTAAAATGAGCTCGTCTAAGGCCACCGGAGCAGGCGCTGCTCTGGAATCCAAATCTTCCAGCGAGAAAACACAAAGAAAATCCTGCTTTATAGACTTAAACCAAAAATTGCAACACGTTATAAACCAGTATCGGTTTATGTATACATATCACTTACCATTTGTTGATATGGTCACGTTGTACTGGACAGTAATGAATAATACTGCAAACTTTGAGGTGACCTGTGGATTTAGAAAGAGATGAATAATATGTATTAACAACACAAGGCTGGAGAAGCAAATTGAGTTTTTCTTTATTGTTAAAAAAAACACTTCAGAAAAATATAAAACATGTGGGGAAAAAAAGCAAAAAGTATCGTCTAGAGACTGATGTGGGGAAGAGCCAAGCTGCTGCAGAGTATAGGTAAATTACAGTCACCAGAAAAAGCTGCCAAACCCTAAAGAGTGTGGTTATGAGAACAGCAACTGAGAATTAACTTTATTTAGCAGACCTTAAAAAAGTGGTAGATGCGACTGTAAAGTAAAAATACTTGGGGCATATTATTAATAATGATTCATGTGACGATGGTCAGAAGCAGCGCTGTTGTAAATGCAGACCAATATAAGTAACCTATATTTTTATAGTAGCCCCCTTTTAAAAGCCGTTTATATATATGATCTTGTTATGATCAGTCATGTAATTGCAGCAAAGCCGACACTGAAAAAGTTTCGGTTCATTTCCAGGATGCGATTTGAATTTGCATGCCGGGGGAAAGTGCAAATTAAATGTTTGCCTCAAGTAATGGTACTTCTTTTCATGCTTCACTGAGGAACTTGATATATATGTTCTTATGCAGTTGTGAAGATGTATGTGAAGGAAATTATAACACTGTTGAAAGGTTCAATTTTTAAAATCAAGTCATTTCGAAAATTGAAACTTGTGCCCTAAACTTTTCTGGTGGACAGCTGCACTGGCATTGTCCTGGGCAGATGAGAGGACCAACACCAAGTGATGATAAGGCTCTGGAAATGTCTACTTGAACTTTGTGCCTCTTTACTCTTTTCCTTCCACTAAACTTTCCATCATCATGTGACTTTTAGTGGCTTATCCTCCTGGTGTATAGGATATCTGACAAGTTTTCCCCATGTTTGTGCAGGCCACCATAAGCATTACCAAAAGTTTTTGTTCGACAGTCAGACGTTCTGAGATACTGATTTTTTTTTGGTTTTCATAATGAAAAGTATGAAGCACAAACATTTAAAATATAGCTCCATTTGTGATAAACTTACATAATATTTTTGATTAAAATGACTAAAATTAATGCACTTTTCTAAGACATGCTAATAGCTTCTTTATTTATTAATTGTATTGTTACATGAATTGGTTTTTATTGCTAAATTCTATTCTCCATTTTTGAGTCGGGCATAAAAGTGAAAATTATTCTTCAAAATAAAAGAGCAGCTTAAGCGAAAAATGATTTACCATTAATATTGATAAATATTCGCATCACTGTTAACTAAAAGCAAAGGGGGAATACAATTCAAACAACTTCCGCAATGGGTTAGCGACAGTAAAACACCTTCCAAAGGCTGCTGAAGGTCACGAACTTTATTTTGAAGAACTAAACACCGGAAGTTGTTTTAAACACGTACAGAAGCGGCATCGCTCCTTTCTGGGGATGAAACCGCGATAGATTTAAAGAAACATGTGGTTTAAAGTGGACCTGAATTTAACACATAGGCCATAGTGGACGGTGGTTTGGTCCCCGTCTCTTTTAAGGCACACTTCTGTTCGAAAGGACAACTTTCTGTTTTGGTACGAGCGGGGGATGACAACCCTCTCGACCGCTGTGCGAATGCCACGTAACACTTCTACGCATAAACTAAGCAAACGGGGCTGTTGCAAAATCTTCAAACCGCGGAGCTCGACACTGCGTTTCAAATGTGCAGCGTCTTATTTTCAAACAAGCAGCTCGCATATGTTTTATTTATATATATATTTTTTTATTTTGGTTTTACTCAGACAAATACACGATTAAAAAGCGGGCCTGAAGTGTTTTGAAATACTGATTTGAAGACGGGAAGCAGCCAAACGTTAAAGTGAGCTCTGCTCCCAGGAAAAGCCCTGATATCTACAAAACACGTTTAGATGAACGGACAGGCCCACTAAATGCGAGAGAATAAGAGAGAAGCGGGACCACCGTGCACTGAAAACTTTCGGTCTTTTGGAGGAAGTAGAGAAGAATTGATCAGACAGCCATGTCAGTTGCTACAAGAACAGATGGGGAGGAAGAGATCAGCTTTCTCGTCCACCAACTCTGCGCGATCTACAATTAAAAACAAGCCCCGCTCAACATGTGGACTCACCTCAAACATCAGCCCGAGCAGGAAAACCATAGCAACACAGGAAACAATATCTGCATGGTTCTGGATCACAAACTCGTGGCTCAGCACCGGCGGGTTCTTGTTGGTCTTTTTTCGGATCCCCATGTCGACGCGATTCGTAAAAGTTTCTCTTTGTCCTTCACACAGACGCGATTTTCTGTGCTTTTCTCCCCGACCAGATGGTGTGATCTATCTGAGCTCCCACCGCGTCCTGCATGCACAGGGCCAGGCTGCTGTTGAATGGCGTGTCACTCTTCTGCTGGTAGGAGGGTCCACGGAGAGAGGGAGCCGCTGCGCCTGACCAAAGAGACTCTTTTACGCACAGGAGAGGAAACAGCTGGGGCTCTCTGTCGCTTCCTAGAGGTTTGGAGTAGAAGGAGAGCTGTAGAGATGAATGGTTTCTATATTTGGTACGCCATCATACGGTAAACTGGTCCAACTGGTCCCACACTTAAAACAAGCAAGCATAGATAAACACCTATTTAAACGACGTGTTATATATTTCATTTGAGGTACAATTTTTTTGTTCTCCCCCCCGCGCCCCCCCCCGCCCACTTTTTTTTAAAGTTTTTGTTGCAGAAGCTAACAAAAAGATTTAGTTTTTATAGACTTCTTCAGAGATTCTCACACCAAGGTCACCTTTCCAGGAAGTTATTTAGTCAGTCCAGTCCAGTCCAGAGTGTCATGTTTACAAACCCTCATCGCCTCTGGCGATTAGATGCTGATATGACAGTAAAAGTATGTAAGTATGTGATAAGGATCTCACACATTTCAAGCTAATTGTCAAACAAAAACTTTAGAAACTAGCATAAGCCTGAGGAGAAATTTATTATAAAGATTTTTTTTTTTAAAAAATTGCAATGTTATGGAGATATACTTTTGAATCTGTTGTACAATTTTGACATAATGCTGATGGAATAAAACATAGGAATCCACCGGTTGAATCTGAAACAATTTAGCTGTGTGTGTTCTAAACCCTTATAAAGAGTAGATATGCAGGAAGTAATGCAATGCAAAACCAGGGCCAAGCACAAGCGAACTGACCAGCTGCCTATCGCCCCGAATGTGGAAGTACATGTGTATGTCACGCATACAGCTGGCTCAGTCCTCACAGGACAAATATGAATCAATTTGATTTCCAGTTCTATTTAGGACTTTGTCTAGGCTATTTTAAGACAAGAACACCAATTCTGTGTGTTCAGCTCTGGTTCTATGTTTGAGTTTGGCGATCTATCCAACTCTGTTGCGGACAGTTTCCTTGCACGATTGCCCTGGTCATCTTTCCATCAAGCCAGAGCAGCTTCTCTGTCTCTGACACAGAAAAGCATCCCCACATTGTGATAATGCCACCACCAAATTTTGGAAGGCACAATAAACCGAATCATGGCGTTTACAAAGGAAACAGTGTTTTAGGAAGTTAGAAAGCCACAGTTTATCTAAGCTGCATAGCAGCATGAGGCTTTTAAGTGTCCGTAAGCAGTTGTTCTTCTTCAAGAATTGCATTTTATTTTAAAGCCTATGAGAGTTCACCTTCGGGAAAACTAGACTTACTCTGAAATATGTTCACTTCCTTTAATAATCAGTCATTGTTCATGAGTTACTTTTGCTCTCTGAGCAATGATTAAGCTCATCTTGTTGGTGACGTTTAAACGGACACAGACATGCGAAGGGGAAGTGTAAAGATCACGCTCCCACAACCACCGCACCTTCATAGGAATGACATGTATTATGTAATTACAAATGTCTGCTCCGAGTGTTGATTTGTTTACTGGTTGCCGAGGTGGGGCTTAGCACAGGTTTCAAGGAAATTAAAAAGAAAAAAATGCAGGGAGTGTAATCTCCAGCTGTGATTGTGTGGAGCGCTCTGCCATAGATGTTATGTCTCTGTAAGTTTACTTCTGTTTTTCTTATTTCTTATATGTGTTTAGTCATTGCGAAAGTAACAATTTTGGGGTGTCGTATTGCTTTTCTGTGTGTGTGTGTTAACTGCAGCGTAGCTCGTGATTAAGTTAAGATATACGACTTTCTTTCTAAAAAGGAACGTAATGAAAGTACAACATACGAAGTCAAAAGAAGAAAATATGTTTTAGGGAAGGAAACATTTGCTTATCTTTAGTTAGCTCTGAATTTGCCTCAGTTTTCAATAAAGCTACCAATCGGTCAAGGCAGTATTTTATTTATCCCTGCTCCTCAAGGTAAGTTGTGCTGCGTGTTTTAGGGATGTTTCACTACTTTAACACGCATTGATTTACATTGAATGTAGTTCAGAAAAAGCCTGTTAATCAGCTTTCTACTGAAATCAGGCATGCAAAAGCAGGGAAACATCTAAAACATTTAGATTTAACTATTTAGAGTCCTGAACTTTGTGCTATAATTTGTTTCTCATGTGTGATTAATTGTGCTTTCATTCATATTGAAAGTGCCATATGCCAGTCAGTCTGATAAGATACATATTTTTTAATGACCGATTAACAAACAGGAAGATATAAAATAAGCCGAAAAACATATAAACTGACCAGGATTGCAAGGCATCTGGAATTTTTTGTTTTTGTTGCTAAAATAAGGAAAATAATTGTTTTGCATCATTGTAAATTACAAGTGTTTGTAATCAATTTTACTTGTCTATCTTTTCCAGAGAGATTTTAAAGCCACCTGTGATGATGACACTCGCATGCTACGAAGCTTACCAGAACAGGAACTGAGACCGCTTCTTCGTCCTCGGAACCAAACAGGAGCAGGAGTGCCAACTTTTAAAAGTGATAACAATGGAGCAGTCAGATAAGCAGTTCTCCATTTGGCGGTGGCTCTTAGCTCTGGTGGGACTATTCATGTACCTAGGGGACATTGGCACAGATACTGCACTGGTTTTTACATATTTTCACGAAGAGCACTATGTTTGGAGTGGACTGACTGCACTGTTTATAATCACTGGGCTGACAGTAAACCAGATCTTCAGCTACGCCTGGTTTTTAGAAGATATGCATAAAAATGTCATGGACAGCAAACCAAAGCGATGGTATTTAGTCCTGCACATATTTGGGATGGGAATCCTCCTCAGGTATGTACGCGCCTTAATGTCGTGTATACAGGATTTGCAGGCTGCAAACTGGAATTTCATTAGTGCTCCAGAAAGTGGGCTCTCGAACTGTGTTACCGTCATCTTCACAGCTGCAGAAAAAACTGAATTTATAACATGATGACGGTTTTTTTTATTATTCTGATACTGTTGCCAGGTCTTACCACCTGCTTAAACAAGGATACAAAGAGATTTGGGGACAAGAAACGTCACACAATCAAAGGTCTCAGAATGGATATCTGAAGAAAGGTTATGAGGAGGGGTCCAGTAAACTGTTCAGCGACACTGCCGATCTGAGCATGTTGAAGCTTTTCGAGACTTTCCTGGAGAGCGCGCCTCAGCTTCTTTTACAGCTGTACGTACATCAAAACCATGAGGAGTGGTCGGTCTTACAGTGTGAGTAGACAACAAAGCTCTTTCTTAACTTCAGATGTTTTCAGATTGATCACTTTTAGTTGCCTTTTTCTTGCAGATATGTCTATGGTCTTCTCTTTCTTTAATCTGGCATGGTCTTTGGTGGACTATCGGATCTGCTTGCGCAAATCTCTTCCCCAGAGCCGGGAACTGCCCTCAGCCCTCCCCACAACTGTCTACCTGCTCTACAAGCTCTTCACCATCACTAGTCTCATTCTCAGCTACAGCCTCCTCCTCATCCTCAGCGTCTACAGCACAGTAGGCTTTACTTCCCTCTGGCTGCTGGGAACAATAAGGGCCCACCATCTTAAAACCAACTTCTGCAGTTCAGGAGTCCTTGAGCTGCTGTACCGTGGCGTCATCGGCGCCGTTCTGGTTTTTACCTTTTTTAACGTTAAAGGACAAGACACCAAACGGGACATGACCGTCTATTACTTTTTTTGGACCGTTATTAATTTCTCAACTCCTTTATTGATGTTCTTTTTAAAGCCAGAGTTGAAGACAATTACAATTTTCTTGGTGGTTAGTGGTGTAATCTATGGCGGTTCATTGCTGGGGCTGATTTTGCTGGTGTTATATTATCGCTTCCTGCACTCTAAACAGGAAGCGAAAAAACAGTATGATGAGGTGGATGGATTGGAAAACGTGGACGGGCAGGAAAAGGAGACGACACCTTCAACAAGGAGGACAAGGGAATTCATAAAACCTTGACAGAGGTTTTTTCCCACCATATCATAAAGAAGGGCACTCCACATCATAATGCAGCCACCGCCATGTATTATTGTTACATTTCATGTTTTAGTTGTGTTCAGACTTGTTTCCATGTCTCAAATCAAGAAATATGTGAAAAGGCGTGAAAGGAACCAAAAAAAAGCAAGGACGAGGCAGTGTAGAGTACAACTGAAAGTTGTTGAGGTTTGAAGATTTTAGGTGTGATTTGGGGGAGTTTACAAATCAGCACACAATAAGATTTCCACCCAAAGAAGTCTGCAGAAATGTTGTCAATTTTCAGTTGTTTAGAGATTTAACCGGCATTCTATGCAGGGATTTAAAAGCTCTCTTCCTGAAATTCACCGCAGTGGAAAACGACCACTTGTGGACACCACCCGTCATGCCACTCAAACTCAAACTACAGACAGTTTCCCCATGACATGTTCTTTGATCCTTCAAAGTTATTTCAAGTTAGTGCTACTGAAGGTGCATTAAGATACCAATACACAGCAGAACCCTGGTATTTGCAAAGTTACAGTGATGCTTTCAGAGGCTCACATTAAGAGTGCGAGCTGAGCAAGCTGTGTGGCTTTTATACTTGAGATGTACTTTGCTGCAGTATTCTCTGAAAATGATCCCTCATAGAGGGTTTATATAGACGCCAGTGCAGATGAACCTACTCTGCAAGATCACCCTCCAAATTGTACAGTTTGAGTGAAAGGTGCTGCTCGCTAAAATAGGTGCTGAGGTACAAAAATTCAGAGGTGCAAAACAGCACTCAAGGCCAACTCGACTATAAGCCCAGCTTTAGGAACCAGCAGTCCATGAATAACTAAAATCCATGAATTCTTGAGACCCTCTCAGAACAGGCTTATAATTGAATTTCTTAATGCACATCAATATGCAATAGTGGGAACTGTCTCAGCACTACCGCAGGAGCAAGCATCCATGGCCTTTCCTGTTTTCGCTCCTGGGCATACAGCCAATCAGTACCAAAGAACATAAACTGGTGCTCCTGGTTTGGTTGCTTTGTAATCACCAGCCAATAGTGTGCCAACTGGCATTGCACCCAAGTATTTCAGCTTTCAATTGTCATCTTCATTTAAAAATCTTAGATTTGCTCAATGAAAATGTCAGCAAATAGGGAGGTTTTCCACAAATAGTAGGGAGTTATGTTACACCTTCACCTGTTGTGAAAGCTTGAATGGCTTTTGTACTCTTGAAAAAAAATGTAAACTCAGACTGTTTTGGTAGGGAAAAGACGCGTTTTTGTTTAATCCCAGTTTTCTCTTGTTTATGTGCTTGTTGGGATATTTTTATATCCCAACAATACTAAGCAGAATACTAAGAAAGTATTCTGCTTTCTTAGGATTATGTAAGTTAAACTTTTAATTTCTTTTAGGGTTGTGGTCTTTGTTATGTTGGCATGAGGTCTCCCTGAAGTGAAACATAAAAGTCTGCACAGAAAAGAGCTAAAATTTGGGAGACAATGAATATCATCTTGTCTCCTCATTCACTCTATAGATTTATGTTAGTCCCATAAGTCCACTTAGACCAACTAGGGGACGTACCACCTTCACCAGGGACAATGGCCTTAAACATAGACCCAGAGCTACACTGAAACAGTTTAGATTAAAAAAAAATTATTAAACTGCACATTTCAGACCTACAAAAATGGCAATACTTCAAAATTAATATCCACTGATACTCTGCATCCAACTTGACAGAAATTGAGCTATTTTGAGCTAAATATGCAGACCAAACGGCTCAGATTTTTAACTAAAAATATTTTGAAAAGGATCAGAGTTAGGTGCTCTTACTGTGTTGCCCTTTCTCATAAGATCCCAATAGAAAGAATTGACACATGTGGTTGCAATGTCATGAAATGTAAAAAAAAAAAAAAAAAAGTTTGAGTTTGGATTAATTTGCAAGACACATGCACTCGCTACAAATGTCTTTCAAATAAATAATTTTTACATTTTTGGGGGGGATTTTAAAATGTTTATGTTTTGTTTCTATTCTACATTGTGAGTCCTTATTTACAGGACAGTCTTATCAAAGGTTTGTTCTATCAAATAGCAGCAGCAACGCTGGGATCCATACTACCTGGAGGTGTTTATGTTCTTTTCTGAACTGCTGTATTATCAACACAAGATGGCGCCATTATCACAATGGATTTTTTCCGAATATGCAACGACATCGAATCCAGTTATTCCAGTTTCTTTCTGACTTTGAGTTACCAGCTGTACCTATTATGCCTTTTAGAGTGCAACATTTCTCACGGCTTTTGATTCATGGTGTCATTTCCTGTTTTCTGCTATGGTTTTCGTACCACATATTAGAATAAAGTTGATTGATAGTCATTCATTCATTCTGAAACAAAATGTTAGGCATATTTAGGCTTCGACCACACTCATCTCATTGACCTTCAATTAATCTTTAACTATCCACTAATCTTCTGCAATCGTTATCTTTGCAAAATGAAAGGATGGACATTTCTCTCCTTCTTTCTGAGGATTCTGGAGACGGTGTGGTCACGGATGAACAATGAAGAGAAAATAAACCAGAACTAATTTTATTTTGACTACTAGCAATATATCGTCTTGCCCGGAAACGAAAGGTGTGATTTATTTATTTTTTTTGTCATCCAAGGTAGGATAAGATAATATGCTGGGGGGGTTGTTGTGGGGCGGGGACATGGTGTGTCCTCTAAAAAGCTGATGGTTGTGGGCTCTCAAATGAGCACAGCCATCCTCCCTTCTTTTAATTCAGCCAAGCTCAGAGCTTTCTGAGCTGTTTATGCCAAGGGACCCCTTGAACCTTTCCTTTGTTGGTTGCTTTTTGTCTGAAACACTCCATAAAATTCAAACTCCAACAAATTTAACTGAGGAAGTTTTGTTTAAGAGGAAATGAATCTCTGCCAGGCTCTTATTTTATGGTGAAGCAACAGTGGATGTACTGACCCCTGCTTGAGCTCTTTTGGTTTATTACATGTAGAAAGCAAGGCTAATGGTTCCAAAACATTTTCCAACCCAATAGTGACCTATAACCCTGTACAACTCAATGGAAAGACAAACTAATATGTTCTAGAAGAAAAAAAAAATCAAAATGGAAAACTTAAATATTGTGGTTGTAAAAGTGCGCTCTCTGTTCTTTGCAACAAAACCTCTTAATTTGGTTCTCATCAGAAGCCGCCCCGTGACTTATTTTTCTTGAAATTCTTTCCAAGAAGCTATTCTTTTTATGGTTTGGATGTACGCTTTGGATCCCTGTTTGGCTAACAGATGGAATTCCTCTTCGTCCACTTTCCGAAGGTTTTGTTCAAGCATCAACTGGTACGTGAAAATATTTCAGCTGTAGAAAAAACAAGCTTAAAGCATGGCCCTGCCACCACCATGCTTCACAATGGCAGCGGTATTCATGTGGCAGGGCATTCCCCACATGTTTTTGGGACTCTAAATGTGGTTTTAGAAAATTTAGTGAACGTTTGTCCTCCATATTGACACTGTACTCCTGAGCATGGAGAGTACAAGAGATTGTTGTTGCATTTTCTAGATATTCACACTCCTACAGTGGCTTTAATGTTGCTGTATCTCTTCCCGTCTGACCAGGTCTTAATTCAGTCATTTTACAAAATGTGAAATGAAATGAAGTTCTCGGTACTCGCACTCCACTCGATGTTAACTGTTCTCAGTGTGTCCCGTAGCGTATGCCGTCGAAACTCTTTGATGCCCTTCTCCAGACTGACAGCTTTTTCCTGTGGGATGAAACAAAGAAAATGTCACGAGAAGCCTACAAGACTCAGATGTTCTTTCAATGGTGACTGATCCTCTTTAAGATGAGCTTGAATGTGGTGT